TAGTCGTGCTACCTTGTTTTTCCCCACCTCTCCCTCCTCCCCCCGTGCCCCCTCACCGGTAAAAAGGCAGCAGGGACGTCCAATCCAAGATGTGGTCCCGGGCAACCAGCCCCGAGAGGTCCTGAAACCAGGCAGAGCGCAATTGAGGTGGGTTGGTACGGCAACGTACAGCACCGTGTGATGAGTCTGTGGCCGTAACGGTTTCCTGGCAACGACGAAAGGCGGCACGGTAGTAGTACAACGCAGTACGGCGCAGCCTTACGCATTTTGGAGAGATACACACACGCATCCCCTGGCGCCCCTCTCCCATCTGCGGGAGAGATCTTATGTGGTCTTTCCTTTGGGCCTGGCCTGCAGTCCCTCTGTGGCCAGTGTCGTCAGGCCCGGTCAGATACTTGTAACCTACACCCCTACATACACACAAGCATACACACACAGATACACACACAGACGTACATACGCGCACCCCCCTGGGCCCCCGTCTACCTGGGGCACCCCCAAATAGATCATATCGCCCGCCTGTTGCCCCGACAGCACGTAGGCATGGAAGCTGCGTTCGTGCTTGATCTCCTGCTTGAGAAACACGTCAGCCGTCGCCGGGTCCAGCAGCGTCCAGCTGACGGGCGCCAGTCCGTTGGCTGCCGCGGAGCGATGGGTGGGTGGGGTGAAGGGGGAAAGATGGCCGGGGGGAAGGGGGAGAAGGGAGGAAAGACGAACCAACCACGAATGAGTGAAGCTGCTGCCAAGGAAAGAATGTACATGAAGTAGAAACTGATCGAAAAAAGGCGTTCTTGAAGGCGGCGACATCGGGAGAAGCGGGTAATAAGACCACCAGGGAAGGGGAAAGAAGAGAGACGAGAGCCAACTGGGGAGTGGTGGGTGGGATATGCGAGATACGGAGAGGTACGTGAACGATGTAATTGCCAGCAGCAGCAGCAGCAGCGGGTGTTCAGCGGCCGGGCGGGGAAGGTTTCAGGAGAAGGAGCGCGCACACTTCAACGGCTGTGTGTATGTTTGTGTGTAGGTTACAAGTATCCGACACTTGGGCCTGATGACACTGGCCACAGGGGGGCTGCTGGCCAGCTGGCCCAACGGAAAGATTGCTCAAGCTCTCTCCCTACGCGAACTGGAGAGGGGCGCTAGGGGGGCCTCTGTCCCCTCTGTTACATATCGATCCGGGCCTGACACTGGCCAGGGGGGCACCTAACCGTATATACCCCAACGGGAATGAGCGACCGCTGAAGCACTCCATCACGTGTATCGTGTGTGTATGTATGTGTGTATGTGTGTATGTGTGTGTATGTGAACATGTTTGAAGGCTACAATTCTCGGACCGGGCCTGACACTGTATGTATCTTAATGATCTTAGGAGCCGTCATAAGGGAATGCCGATGGCGGTACGCGAATATCTTCGTACTGAACCCGAGCTCCGTAATCACGACCTGCTGCGACCCCTGTTAGATTTTTCCGATATAATTTGTAGCTGCTGGACGTAGCTGCTATTGAATACTTCAAGAAGACGTTGGACAGCAGAGGCGACATGGAGAGCCCGTAGGGCGAAGGGCGATTGGATGGTGGGCGGCTAGAACGGACTAGACGGATAAAAAGAGGGCACATAAAACCATATTCCTATCCCTAGCTAGCGGACAGAGCAAAGGGCCATTATGCTACAGCTGCGTGTGCGGTGTGGTAGCGACAAAGCAGGGTGCCCCACCCCCTGGCGGGGCCACAACGAACCCTTCCCCCGTGAGACGTCGATAAGGTTGACTGACCTGTGAACGATGGGAAAACGATGTTGGAGCAGCAGCAGCAGCAGCAATAGCAGCAGCAGCAACAAAAGCAGCAGCAGCACCAATAGCAGCAGCAGCAGCAGCAGCACCAATAGCAGTAGCAGCAGCAATAGCAGCAGCAGGAGTTAATAAGTGTCAATCAGAGGATGTGCGCGGGCAATTCCAAAGGCCACAGGAACACACACGCTGCGCACCGGGGGCCCTAACTAGGAGAGAGAATAGGAGAGAAAGAAGTAAAGGAAGGAAGAGTAGTACATCGCACTAGGAGCAAATAGGTACGGTGCAATCAAGTACGGTGAAGGTACTGGACTACACTGACAGAGGGCTAGTACATAAACCAAAGAAAAACGGCGGCCCTTGACGCTGTGAATTGGTTTTAATGATCTTTGGAGCCGCGATGCGGGAAACCCCGAGGGTGGTGATGATGCTGCCAGGTGGTGTTTGTGTGTGCTGGAGCAGGGTGAAGATCCCCCACCCGGGCACCCGAAAGCCAGATGTATGCGAGATCCATCTTGGTCAAGTCGGTCATGTCAGCAGGCTGTATGAGCAGATGAGTTCCAGCCGACCCAGATCTGCCCAGAGGCATCCCGACCCGCTCCCCAAACCAGCTGGACGATTCAATGGAGCCTTCTTAGGCCCCACGCTCACCTGCTGCAATGCGGTTGACTGATTTGACCAACGGCAACAGCGAGCTGACGTTCAAGGCAGCAATGCGCAGCGACTACGCAGTGAACAGGTTGGCAGTATCAGAAGGAGGGGGTCGGTCTTGCCGTGCTGAGACACGTGATGGATAGAGAATTGCGAGAAGGATTAGTTCATGCGGGGAAGTGCTGTACGGAGAAGTAGTTCTTGACCTCTTCAGCGGGACAAACGTCATCAAAAGCTAAAATGAGTCACGAAGAAAATATCTGCCGGTGATGCAATGGTAGGGCAGTGCAGTTGGTCACGTGAATCAAACAGCGCGAAGCTTACCGTGTTATTATTCCCAAGCCCGGCTTGTATTGCGTGCCCTCTCAATAAGCATTTAGATGTGACTCCTTGAATTGTTACGTCAGAACTGTTACTGGAAAGGCACATGCCACTGGCAGTTAAGGGATCGCCTAGGCCAACTCTCGTCAATAGTAATTAATGCTATTCAAACGCACCTCGGTACTTTACAATTTGCTGTATGTCTTACAGCATCCATTGCACATCCGACAAAGGCGTCCTCCCATAGCTCGGAAGTCCCCGAAGCAAGGAACACGCCAAAGCTGAAAATTGTGAGGGCCCAGACTGCCACCTTCATGTGAGCCTGTTGAACTCCAAGAGCTCCTTAAGCGGATAGCAATGGAACAAGGCATGCCCGTGCGAAACCTTGCGCCAGCATGCCTTACACGATTGCGGGAATTGACAAGCATATTAATCCTGTAATACCCTTCATAACCTCAACAAGTATTTTTGGTACGTAACCGGAGTATGGAAACGTGTAAATACTGGTTAATATCTCGTCAGTGACAGTGTCGCATAACCTTCTATCCATTTGGGTAGATCTCTACGCTCCAAGCCAACAAGTAACCATGTTGCTTCACAGCTTTCAGCGTTGGGGTTCCGGTATGTCGTACAAATAGCATCTCCCTCGGCTACATGCTTCCGCAACGTTGTACTAGTAAATAACAAGAATGCCTTCACATATCTGTGCTGATACATTAACAATGACTGCATGTAGGTTCAGTTTCACCTAATACATATTTAGTCACATTTACCCGTAGCCATTAGGGTGGCGGGCTCTTTCAGGAAATCGTTTACCTGGGGCTTAATTATCGGCAGGGTAGCTCCGTAAGTCTCCGTTGCACAACCTGTTGCACAGCGGGATACCCACCATCTTGCACAATTATTTATCAATTTCTTTTTCCTCTTGGTCAATCACCTCCAATGGGAAGCCCTACCTGTCTTCACGGCACACGACACGCCCAAGAAGGATCTTCGACCTGTGATTGAAGATCCTCATTGGGCGTGTCGTGTGACCTTCGATGGACCCAAAAGCTGCAGTTGTATTGCATATAGACGCCGGCGATATAAGTTTATGCCATGGAAATTAAGCTGCCGTGCTGTGCAAAGCGCGTCGGCGGCTGGTTCAGGTCCTAGGCCCCATGTAAGCATAGCCTGGACATGCACAGCTTCCCTCTGCCAGCTTTCCGCTACGCCGCCATGGCCACGTGCCTCGACAGTAGAAAATCGTACCGACCTCTACAAAGCAACAGGGATCCGAGCCAAGGCTCCTTGCCATAACACACTTAAACTCCTGTCCATAACACGCCGAAATGAACGGTGTTGGTCTCCAGTGCCGCTTCAGTACTGAAGGTGGGTTGAGATAGGCGCATGATTGCGGCGGATGCACTCTGCAAGCCTGATCCAACTTTGCCTATGAATTTTTTTCCGATCCATTAGCCACTGCAGCTAGTTAGGAGCGGAAATCGTCGTAAGGCAAAAAGCAAGGCCCGCCAGGGCCAAACTGGAGCTCCATTTTGGTGGAGGAACAGGGCGACGCATCTCGTGTATTAATTTGAGATCCACATTTACAGGTTCTGTAAACATATTTCCAGGTTCATGGAAACCACATCTCATGAATAATTCCTCCTGACGCAACACCCTCGAAGGCAACGTGCGCACGCCAAGACAAAAAGAAACCGACACAACGAGTTCGCATTAATTTTGTCGTGCTTTAGTTGAAGCGTATATTGTCATTAATTTGGACATACGCGCGCAAATTGCCTGCACCGTACCGGCAACAAAATCTGGTGCGTGACCAACCGTAAATAAAAGTTTACTCTTGCCTAGGCTGTCCTGAGCTGAGCATTTACCCGCCGTAGAATAATATTCATTTTCCTTCTATTTTGCTATCGGGTGCGTCCCGCTAGTCCTTACAGTGTCGCACTTAGTCCCCGAGATGTGATGTTTACAAGCTGCCAAAGTGCCCGCGGAACAACGAAAGGACGCCTTACGCCCAGTCGTACATGGATTTGAATGTAAGCCTTGCCTGTTAGAAACAAAAGGGGAATGCTTAAACACCCCCACCCACCCATCGGCCAAGGTTCTTTTCTATCTGACCCATTCCCACTTTCCACCTTTGGTCACCGTAACGCTGACAACGTGAGACCAACAACCGTGAGATCGTACAAAGTTACGACCTCCTCCGCCTCCTCCTGACCCGTTCCTCGTCATCCGCGTGCTGATCCGGGAGCTAAGCAGGGGAGCTAAGTAGGTCAAGGCGAGGATGGGAGGGGGGAAGACGAACCACGAACGAGTGAAGCTGCTGTCATTGCGAGAGAGAGGGAGGGAGTTGTGGCCACCTGCGCGCCTCTCGTCGAGCTCTTGGATAAATCCGTTAAAAGAGATAGACCTCTTCCGTGAACTTTTTTCCCTTACTTTTCTAGCCAGCATTACAGAGTCAAAAGTCGGTAAGCATCACATGTTTTGACGTGGTGTACCGAGATTGATTATCATTGGATTTAAGATCCAATCGGAGTTAACTGCATGTTTGGCTTCAGGCTTCAATAGACTTCCAGGAATAGGCAGTGCCGTACGTGTGTAATCACACGTGTGTATCGTCAGCGTGGTTAGTACCGTGCAATGGGCCCCGAAACCACATCAAGACGTCTTAATCGTTGTAGGACAATAAAAGTCCCTAAATGGCCATTGAGGGCAGAATCTCCCACCCAGCTCCACACCGCACCCCCTCCCTCACCCCCCAAAAAACGAGGAAAAATCACTGCCCTCAAAACGAGCATGAAAGGGCTCCCGGTGTCCACTCCAGTCAACGGCGCGCCGCCTGCCACACACTTGCCCGCGTCCTTTCCCGCAGCGCCCTCCCCGCCATCAGCCCGCCATCAAGTCCCTACATCCCCCTTCCCCCTCCCCTCCTTGTCAGCAGCAACATGCGACGCCCCATGCTGGCGTCGACGACCTCCATTGCAACCCACCTTTGCAAAATCAGCAACAAACAAGCCGCGGCGTGTGACCCCAACTCATCGCCCCACAGATATCGATATTTCCCCCTGGGCCTCTTCTCCCCCCCCCCCAATGTCAACAACCCCAGCATTTCCAGAACCGTAGGTCTCCCCCACGAGATTACCCTTCCCTCATTTCTCAGCCCCCACACCGACCTCAGCAAACCCTCTGGTGCTCCCTCCCTTCCCCCCAACCCCGCATTGCCCCCGCCCCAACGGCCCCCGCCATCTCGCCACCGCAGTCCGCTCTTCTTCCAGCACTTCCACCACTAGTTCTTGAGTGACTTCATGAAGTAGCTGAGTGAGGTCACGGTACGTGAGAGCTGCACCAGCAGGGAGGGGCCCTGCTTGGTTCCGGAGGCCCCCTCCCCCCCGTCACCGCCGCCAGCGGCAGCCCCCGGTTCGACCCCCATGAGCGCCTCCCGGATCAGGAAGTCCAGAGCCTCACCTGATGATGGAGTGTATGTACGTATGTATATATGGATGGAAGAGACGGTTGGGGGTTCGTTGAGAGCAGTACGACCAGGATTCAGTCACATCCTTCCCGCTTCCCTGTACTCCCTTCCTGTACACCCCCCTTCCCCCCTTTTATAACTCACTCCTCAAAACAAATACGCAAAGCCACAGACACTCACTCACACACTCACTCGTACATACACCACGCATTTGCCGATGTACATCTGTTTTCTACTTTTGAAAATATTATGTTCAGCCGCATACGGAACATGTATTCTCTCTGACTTTGCACATTAGACAATTTTAATTTAAATAAAGAATGGCTAATTTCGATTGGGGTTTAACGTAACTAGATCCAATCTATTCAAATAAGGATTGCACAATATTGTTAATGTGCAACTTTAGTATCCAGGTATAACATCGATATGGGTCTTGCATATCATCGCGTGCATACATGCATATGCACAGCAACATTTACGCTATACCAATAGCCCCGGTGGGGGAGCCCCCTCCTCGCTCGTCACCCACCCACCCACCCACACCGCCACACACCCCAGTCCCACCTTGAGGTCGGGTAGGGGACTCCTTGATCAGTCGGTAGCGCCCGGGCAGGTTCTCCTCCTCCACAAACACCTGGGGTGGGGGTGGGGGTCGGGGGGTTGGGGTGGGGGGGTTGGGGGTTGGGGGGTGGGGGAGGCACAGAAGCACACGGCGCACAAGATGCAAGAAAGGGAGGAGTAAGAAGTGTGTAGTGTGTGTGTGGGGTGTGTGTGTGTAAATTACGGGTGAATGTGGGTAAATTACGGGTACTCGCAGTACACTGTAGTAGTGATGTGACGAGGGGGGCTTCAGGGCCTTCAGAAGAGAGTGCACTGGGGGGGGGGGGCTGCGGAGGTGCCTCACCACCACCACCACCCGGCACGTGGAGAACTTCGAGATGTTGTGTTCATGAGGTTGATGGTGTTGATAACCTTGATGACGGTGTTGTTGTTGACGTCCTTATTCACGGTGTAAATGAAAATCCTCGGCCAATTTGGATGATGATGATGTTGTTGTTGTTAGTGTTAGTGTTGATGGGGTGTTACACACTTATACTGCGGGAGGCTCTCGTCCCGAGAAAGGACCGGAGAGAGCACCGCGCAGGGCCCCGAAACACAGCGCAGGGGCGGGTACCTCGCGGCTCCTCGTCCGTCTATTAATGTTAGTGTTGACGTGTTGTTGATGGGGCGAAAGGGAGACCACAGCCCGCTGTAACCACAAGCCTGAGCAAGCTGAGCAGCGCACGGCCGGCAGGCAGGGTGTTTAATACTATATATATAAAACCAACACGCTTCTTCACCGCTCCCCCGCCATCCCCCTCCCTTTCCCCTCCCACTCCCCCCACCTTCCATTGCCCAGGATAGCGCCTAAACACCGTGCCAATGTCACCGATGGGCCTTAGACTGTACGACACAGTGAAGTTCTTGAGGAACTCGTTACGGATGCGGCGGGCGTTGAGTCCCAGACCCACATCGCCACTGTTCGTGACACGAGTGTGTTTGGGAGTGTGGGCCGAAGGGGGGGTGTTCAGGAACCGCCAAATGAGTGCATCGTGGTGATGGGCCAGAGACCAGGCAGCACATACACATGTGTGTGTACGGAGGTAGTACGAATCCAATATTGGCATCATCAGCGCATCAGCGGCGTTATCATCTTCAATACTGCCGTACTGCAGTAGTGGTGGTAAGAGCAGCAAAACAATCGACACAGCAAAACCCCACACCCGGCACGAGTGCACCCCTGACTGACCGACTGACTGACCGACTGACTGACTGACCGACTGACTGACTGACTGACCGACTGACTGACCGACTGACTGACCGACTGACTGACCGACTGACTGACCGACTGACTGACTGACTGACCGACTGACCCCCGCAACGGCCCCAACGAGGCGGTGGTCATGGGGGGGGAAGGTGGGCTCCAAGAGGGAGATACCCAATATGTCACAATAATCCGTATAATCTGTAATACAATATACACTGTGACGGTTTACCAACACACACACACATACACACACACACACACACACACAAGCGAACCAACCTGTGTACATACATACGGGTGCGTGCGCACTCCCGCACACAAAACAAAACTCACCTGGACATGCGCTGGTTGAACAGCACAATGGGCCGGTCCAATCCGCCCGCCTGCTCGTCCTGCTCACGGATCTGTCGTACCTGCACGTGTCGTACGTGTGTAGTTGGCAGAGTATTAAATATGTGAAACGCGGGAACGGACGAGATGAGCCCCCCCCCGGGAGCGGCGGGGCCAAGCCATCATTCGGGCACCAGCGGGGGCTGGCGGGAGGATGGGGCTCAAGGTAAGCGGCAAAAACACACACAAGAAAGCAACCCACCCCTCAACCCCCACCCACCCACCCCCCAACCCGCGGCCGGCATGGAATCAGGTCACGTACTCGCCCCGCGGCGGGCCCGGCTAGCTCAACAAAGCGTTCCCGTACATCCATCCCACACACGTCATTCACACATCCGTACATATTCGCCGTATTCCCCATGCCTCTTAAGCACAACCTCACCACCCTCAACCTGTAAATACATGAATACACACACAAAGCGAGACGCGCCCCCCTGCCGCCCACACAGCGACTTTCCCTGCTGCTGCTGCTGCCCCTGGCCCCCTCAGGGACGGTTCCACTGAATTGACTCTCCCGCACCGCGTGGGGGCAAACACACACCTCTGCCCGGATGGGCCCTCCTCACCCCCCCTCCCCCGAATCCCCAGCCAGCCCCCACCGGGTATTAACAACCGCATGCACCGGGTTTTTAAGCTTCCCTTACCCCCAATACACACACTCGGCCCCCTCCCTTCCCCTGCCCTTCCCCTCCCCTGCCCTCACCAATCGAATGCAGTCCTCCGCCCCCGGGGGATCCACACACGCAACCACAACCAGCTCGTCATCCGCGTCCACAGGCCTGAGGACGGGGAGCGGGTCAGCGGGTGAGGTGTGTGTGTGTGTATTGGGGGAGTTAGGAGGTCTTGAGAGAACACAGGAATATGAGGGTGCGGGTGGGGAAAGACGTGGGTGGGGAGAGGTATGGGCTGGGAGGAGTCAAGGACAGACATACCGACATACCGACAGCTACCCTTCCTGTACCGGACCTTGTCCCCTGGCCCAAGGTGCCTCCCTCTCTCCCCTTCCTCCTTCCCTCTCCCCCTCCCTCTCCCCCTCCCTCTCCCCCTCCCT